CTTCAACTCCCAGAATTCTCCAGCTGGAGAATTCTGGGAGTTGAAGTCCACAAGTCTTAAAGTTGCCAAGTTTGGGAATCACTGCAATATAGCAAGATCCACAAGGTAACCACGCTCGCTGCCTCCCACACCTCAAAAATAATAAGACCTCCCCAAAAATAAGGCTCAAGTGCTTATTTCGGGGGTCAAAAGAAAATAAGACCCTCTTATTTTCGGGGAAACATGGTACAATCTCTTGCCCCTTTGGCCTCCGCACACAAAGGTGGTATTTGCACTACCACGAATGCTCCAAAGGAAGGCCGCCCTCCCGTCACTCTAAGCCGAAACCAGCAGGGAGGCAACGCGAGGGAAGGATGCTCGGCGAAAGGCCCCTTCCCCATCTCACCCGTTGTGTGTGACCAGGCACTGACGTAACCCCAGTTTCCGGAAAATGTCCACCACGATCTCCATGGGGGTTTGGTCGGTCACAGTGAAGGGGCTGAGGTCAAGAATTCCACGCAGCTTGAGCATGGAGGGGGAGCAGGGGGGCAGCGGGGGGCAATGGTCCGTGAAATAAATAACTGAACTGCTGACGATCCCTTCTTGCTTCTTTCGGGCATTTTCTGGGGTGGGAGGGGAGGAAAGAGAGAGTAAGAACGGGGGGGGGTAGCCCACACCCAGCCTCCCGGGAGATGGAAATAGCCACATCTGCGCACTGCCAGGGTGCTTCTGGGCCCGCTCACCAATGGAGATGACCAGGTCTCGCCGGAGGACAAAGCCCACGAGGCGCTGAGACTCCCTGGACACCACCACGGGGTAGCCGCTGTAGGTGGTCTCGTTGATGATGGCCTCCACGTCCTCCACCGTCATAGTGTCCTGCGTCAGCACCGTCAAGGCGGGGTCGCTACGCCGGGGGCGCATGACGTCCATGGCCAGGGTCTTGTGGGTGAACTCCTCCTTGGCCTCCAGAAACGGGTAGCCGTTCAGGCGGATGTGGGCGTCGTAGATGCCCTCCCGGCCGATGGCATCGGCCACCCACTTGCTGGTCATGGCGGCCGCCATCAGGGGCACGATGTACTCCAGCCCTCCCGTGAGCTCAAACATGATGACCACCAGGGAGACGGTCATGCGTGTCACTCCACCTGCAAGAACCAGCAGAAGTTTGGGTGAGGAGGACCCCTGCCCCTCCGTCCCGAGTATCATCCATCCTGCCCTGCTCTCGGGTCACCTCTGAGCGGCTGGGTAGAGCTGCAGCGGCACCTGTCCCGAGCCTGAATTCCCAGAAATTATCTGCGTAATTTCTTTTAGCGGGAAGATTTTAAAAACGACAGAAAGACCGAGGAGGACTACCAAGGGGTAAAAGCGAAGAGTAGCAAGGCAAGGAAGAAACGACTGACAATTTCCTTGGCATCAGTTTCGAGGCTGTGTCGCCTTCCCAGAAAGAGAATCTTTAAATCAAAATATTGCAAAATCCAGCGGTTCCGTTTTATCGGCCAGGAAGGCTGAGGTTGCTCTGGGCTGGAGCTCAAGGGACCCCAACCATCGTGCTAAAAAGCCTCTTTAAGGGCTGGGGCCTGTTTGGGGGGTGGGGGGGTTGAAAGCAGCCCTATCTCCCCCCCACACACATTTACCCAAAGGGAGCCAAATTGGTCTGCAGCTGGAGATGCCCAGGGGCCCGGCGAGTGGGAGGGACCCCCTACTCACCCAGACAGGCGGCAGCCCCCACCATGGCGTAGAGGCCAGGCGTGATGCAGTCGGCGCCAGGGCTGCACCAGCCCTTGAAGATGAGCCAGTCGTGATGGTGATAGGCCAGCTGCTCCATGCCCACGCCCAGCAAGCGGCCAGCAATGGCCCCCACCGCCATGCTGGGGATGAAGAGGCCGGAGGGCACCTGCAGGAGAAACTGGCATCAAACGGACAGCCTCGCCTCCTCTCCGGCCTGGCCCTGCGCAGAGACCCCCTCCTGCCCCACTGCGGCCCTTGGGTCGAGGAGGGGCCAGGAGGCCTCAACTTAACAAGAGGAACTGAAATTGCCCTTGTAAAAGCCCTTGTGGTCGTAAGTCGAGTCGGAATCTAATATTGTGATCATTTTTACGGTAGTCGTGACTGAATCATAGTGGTGGCTAAGTCAATGCGGCTCCCCTGAGGCTGGCCAGAAATTCAGGGGCCCAAACAGAAACTGCTTCTACAAAGGAGTGGGGGGGAGGCTACAATAGCTCGTAAATCACTTTTAATGAGGCAGTCATAACTCTGAATTGCCATGAAACGGTCACAGACTAAGGACCATCTGCATGTCAGACTATCCCCCACCCCAAGACACTCAAATGCCTCACTGCTCTGGAGGGGGGGGGGTCTGAGTCCCCCACTCCTAGCTTCATGCCAGGGGTGGGTTCCTGCCAGCTTTAACCTCTTCTATGGAAGAGGTTCCACAAATCTACAGTGCCGTTTAGAACTGGTTCCACCTCCTCCCCCCCGCCTGTCCGCATATCATCAAGATGAAGAGCGAGAGGAGGAATTCTGGGAGTTGAAGTCCACAAGTCTTAAAGCTG